TTCTTTGTTTCTTTTTTTTTTTTTTGAAAGCTGAATTACTATAGTTTTTTGTGAATAAGTTTATTTTGATATTTACGGAACTGTACTAAAAAGACGAGACGAATGAAAGAAACGTAAACATGTTTTTCAGTAAAAGCCATCGATAAGTCCATTTATGCTAATATTCTTTTTTTCTTTTTTTTTGCAGCAATGGCAGCATTGGTGTGGTTATTCACCCGTAATGATCTCCGGTCAGGAATGAAGCGAATGGTTACTTTATTGATTGCACTCTGTGTTTTCCATGAATTCATTGAGCAGTAAGCTTATTTACTGATTTGTAAAGTAAATATTTCATTGAATACTGTCATACAGATTGGGAAGGAGTGTACCTGGCTGATTAGGAAGATTGAGATATATTTTGTTACTCACAAAATATCACTGAAATGGCGTTTTGGTTATGTTGTAGATTTTCAACCCTGCTTTTGCGATAAAAGCAAATAAGTGAGTTATATGGTAGATATTTGGTAGATAAAAATTTGCTAAATATTTGTGATTCAGAGCCAGTGTTGTATATTTGGATCTTCGATCTTGGACATTGCTTGGAGCAAAGGCCACATTTACTGCCGGGCTGGCGGTAGGAACACTGATTGCATATTCATCGCTTGGAACACATTTAACGCAATATCGCAGTTAAAAGAAAATACGATGTCTTCGGAATGGAAGGTTAATACCAGACCGGTGTTATGTGAAAAGGCAAAGCTTTTGTTTATAATGAAAGGCAACCATTTGCCAGAAATCATTTACGACTCTTTTTTTTTATTGGTCAATAAATAATAGACTAGCATCTCCACTGACAAAATTCCAAGCAGTTCAAATGGATACCTGCACTCCATCTGGTGTTGGCGGAAATCTGTTACGAGGGCATATTTCCCAAATATCAACAGGTTAGCTATTAGCTATGTTTCTTCAGCTCCTATGTTAAGCGTAAACCATCAGTCATGTCGTCTACCATGCAATTTATCAAATGAACTACCGTAACGAAAATGGCATCCATTTTAAACCCTCTTTTCCTGGCAGTGAATCGTTTCTTGATTGCGCAAACACCCGCGCATCCATTATCTTCCCGCAATCCTTGTATTTCATGCCGGTGTATATTCAGAAACATGGGAAGATCAGTGGAGGAACTTTCTTACATAAAACATCGGTGCTACAGCTTTTTTATTCCATGTGGATGTTTCGCCGGATGAATTGGCGCTGAGAAAAGGTGGGACACATGTAAAACTAAATAACTTTAAGCGCAATTTTCATTCACGGAGTAAATTCAGCAGTAATTTTTTTTTTTTTTTTTTAGCTACTTGACAAGTAAAAAAATTATACATAGGAAACACACACACGCATACAAACACATGGAAACAAATATGAAACGGAAAAGAAAAAGAATTTCAGAAACACTGCATGTATTAGGCAAAAACCATACATGAAAGTAAAATTGTTTTTACATCAAGGAATTAACGGCAGCAAAATTGGGAAAACTGGACTAACTTGAAATGATATAAACTGAATTAAATTCTGGAAAATCATCAAAATAAAATATTAGGGAATACAATATTGGACGAGAAACCCTGACTTCACACTTCACGATAACGAATAAATCAATAGAATATACAAAAGAACACATACTGCGAAGAAAAATTGCTGTTTTATATGACACTAGCAGGTAAACGTTCGAAAGCATCTGAATTCCGTCGATGAAAACCATTTATGCCTGATGGCGTTCCACTTAGCTGTTGTCCTGGTGATATTCGTCGGATCACAACATCTGATTGACGTTGCAATTTGGAATCATTTGCTAACAATTTATCAGTCGTGTAGCAGAATTCACGTGATGATAGCGAACCAGTGATCATTTCTGGTCCATCCGGAATCCCATGTTTGGGATCCAAACCTGCTTTCAACAATATTGCTGCACAGTCTAGTGCACCGGATGTCTGTGCATGCCATAATGCCGAACGACCCATTTCGTCTAACATACGAAGATCCGCGTTATACTGCAAAATCAAGCGTTTTAGCGAAATTTAAAGTTAAGTCCACCTGAAGAGATTTTTCACAATTTAACAGCAAAGACAACAACAACCAGATTACTTCATAATGACAGTAAATGTTCTTTGATTAGGAACAAAATTTATGGTCCGCTTCATGATTTTTAAAATTACTAAATTCTTTCTTTTTAACCGAATTATTTAGGATTTTTAAAATTTAACATGCAGACTATTAAGATGTATGCTGGAGTTATCCAAAAATGAAAAAAAATAGTATTTTAAAAAAATCTCAAGAGTAGACCCTAGTTTTAAAACTTTTGCAATCTCGCCTTAACATCAGCGATCATTGTGTTCAACATCAAATGTTCTAGAACGTATTTCTTTTTTGCTAATGCAGCGACAGATTTTACACTGGCGTACCAAAAACAAGTTTCTGAACCAAGCAATTAGCAAACCATAAGACAATGTCCTAGACGTGTTTGCAATCTCTTACACATATATCCTACCGTACTTCAACAGTAACAACAATAGTCCTGTTTCTTATTAGCCTCATCAGATTTACTGAAGAAATTTACCCAAACAAGAAGTTGAGTGCAAGCCGCAGATGCATTCGAACAAGCGATATGCAAAGCAGTACGCCTATCAGTCGTGTCAACCGTTGTTCGAAGATCAGAAGTACTACAACGTGGTAAAATTGGTAAAAGTGCACTGAGATCATTATTGAAAACAGCATCAAGTAGTTGTCGGCCAAGCGGTATATCAGTTGTGATGAGTGGAAGGAAACGTTTCCCTTCATATTTCACCTTAATCCATTTCTCTTTTTCTTCCCTAAATAGAATTCATCTGTAAATCATCAGTAGCAGAAAATGAACTTTAACTGAACTTTGTATACAATATATAAGATAGGCTTAAGTAACAAGCTTAACTACTGTATTCATTAGAAGAAAGCTTATTTAATACGATTTTTAAACAAACCGTGATGCGGTTGCCTGTGGTTTTCTACCTGCTGGAGCGTTATATTCCCAAACAGCATTTGCTTTTTTATTACCAATCGCTTCCATGACGTTTAAATACTCCATTCTAAATAAAATTGAAATTCAATTGAAACAAATCATTACTTACGCATATTAAACTCTCATAAAGTCATATAATCCCATAAATAAAGTTAAATGACTACAGAAAGGTAACCAAAAAAAGATGAAACTACTAAAAGACGAGACTCTTAAATATATCTAAAATAAATTAAAAATTTCAAGATTCAAATATAAAGCTTATAAAATCATTTCATCGAAAACCTCAGCAGGAAAAAAGAAATGGAACTTACGGCCAATCATCCAGATCAAGTGAACGGACTTTTGAAATATGTGAGCCAAGATTTCGATGAATTCCTGAGCATTCAATGCAAATTAATGTTCCCAAATTAAGCGAAGCCCAGTCTGGCTTTGGTGTATCACAATCGGCACAACTATCATTACCTGGTATTAGCCGCAAAGCTTGCACCTATTAATAAACACTATATAATTAACATATTTAAACATTTAAGCATAGCTACATAAATATGTTACAATAGCTTTTCGTAGAAGATTCATTATGAAAAGATGTTGCATAAAATTATTACAACATTACAGACTAGAGAAAAGCTTCTTCTTAGATCATAGTCATACCATTATAGTTAAAGATTTGCATTACAATAATAGCAATAATGCTTGCAAAAATATATCATTTTCGTCAATTGCACATCACATAAGATATATAAAATTCATCGATGATTTATACAATTTCTTATTCTCAATAATGTCGAAACTAATATAAAGCTTATATCTCAAATTTGGATTAGTAGTTGTCTTATTAAAGTTTACGCATGTATTTGTAAGCATAAATGCGCATGCATAAAATGTATCACACACATTGCAACACTTTCCATCGATACGTGTTCAGAATTAACTTACTTCAGTTTTGTTTCCATGGCCACGACTACTATCTTGTTGCTTCTGACTCATTTGAGCTTGCAACGATTTCTCAATTAATTCTTCAATGGCAGCAACCCATTCATCACGTTCCTCAACTGAGGTGGCCGAAAATTCCCAACGTTTTTGATCACATGTAATAATTTCAAATTCACAATCATCTTCTGAAATATATCACAAACATTAAAGATTCTTAAATAAATACATTTCATTGCTCAAATGCCATTTTACATTTATTAAATAATAAATTCAAATATGGATATTAGCCTTTCAATTAAGAAATCCATAATCCATTTGTCGCAGTTAAAAAAAATCTAAAACATGTATTTTCAAAAGAAAATTATTATTACAATAAATAATTCATTTGCCTTCATCATTTTTTGCAGCCGATCCAAGCCGGCGATGACCTTTCTTTTTCTTACTAGCACTAGTAGTAACAGAAGCTGGGGTAGTTACAACTGAACTGCTTGCACTTGTAATCAAAGGTTGTACATTTTGTTGCTGATCATCACTACCACCGGATGTTCCTAAAATTCAAAGAATGTAATTTTGTGTAAAATCAAAATAATTCATTGAATTTTGGAGTAAAGTTCCACCAGATAAAACACCAAATTTTTAATTTGTTCAAATTTTAATCTTACCTTCACCATTCATGCACTGTTCATCAGCGAATGCTTTGTTATCCTGACCCGTAGAAATACTTATATCGCTTGTACTTGCAACACCAACTGTATGTCGCATTACATTTAAATCGTGCGATTCTTTTTTGCAACTGACATCCTTAACAAATTGATAATCTCGATTAGATTCTGGAATCATTTGCGTATGGATACGTTGTGTATTTCGTGGCCTTTGACGTCCAGCAATGCGTACCGTTGCTAATCCCAAAAATACTTCCTTTCCATTTGTATCTTTTTCCATATAATCCTAAAGATCGTAATTTGCTTTCTGCCATTTAGAATAATTTTACAAAAAAAAAAAGGAAGAAAAAAATCTTTGATCAAACGAATGAGTTTATGAATGATAGCATACTTTTAAAGTTTGATGATAAGAAAGACGACCATTGGAATGAAGACAAACATATTTCTTTTTCCATTCCTTATTCAATGTCTTACTACTCCTTTTATATAAATGACCTTGTTTCACAGGTATAGCCCGACCCATACCCATACTGATCTCAGCTGCTGATCGATGCGACTTATCATCATGTCCATGATCTTTAGGTCGTTGCTAAAGTTAAATTATTATTCGCAATGAAATCTAGCAAATATCTTTCATAAAGAAAAAAAGAAAGATAAGAAAAACATTCTGTTATTAAAACAGAAGATAACATAAATATGCACCAATAACAGCATTTATATAGTAGTGGTTCCCAATTTTTTTTTTGATCAGTGAGTATTTTGGATTTTTTATTCGTAGTGGGAATCGTAAGATTCGAAAATAATGAATTCTGCTAATTTCAAAATAAATTTCGAAAAACAGGGGAAAATAATTTTTAATAGCCCTCACGTACCATATTTTAGTTCTCAATGATCACTGGTTGAAACTATTATTATATGGGAAGAAATCCAGCAATTATAGAAGGATTATGACTGGTTATTTTTGAAATTCCTCAAATATATTACAAAAAAAAAGAAGTTATACGACTAATTTCAGCTTATAATGAAATAAATATTATCCATATTTTTTTATGATACTATAAATATCGTTATTTATTGATTAATTCTTATAAATTCAAAGTTAAATGATAATAGTTAAAAAACATAATGAAATAAATCAAAAGTTTACATACAAATAAATTGGAAATTCGACGATTTCGTCGTTGTGTTGTTGGAGTGGATGATGGCGTTAATGGATGATGAGTTGATGAAGTTGTTGCTATTAAAGATGGTTGCAATGATATTTGATTATCAAATGTTTCATCTTTAACAAATAATGCTTGATCAGTTTGAATAGGATTCATAATGGATGCACGTGGTGAAGATTGAAAATGTGGCGTACCTGAAATAATTCATTTATTATTTATAAAATCAAAATATGAGTGTAAATTACTGATATGGTAGAAAATATTCATAAATATTACTTAGAGAAGTTATTTATTCATTTATTTTTTAAATAATTTATTATTCGAATAAATGAATAAATAACTTCTCTTTCAAAATATGTTATAATTACTTGTTTGTTATTTAATATTATTTTAATGAATCCATAATCTCATATATATGGTTGAAATAAAAAAAAAAAACATTTAAATTCAAATTTTAGATTTTCATAATTTAATGTAAACTGTAAATTTGGATTACACAATGGATTGAAAATTATAATCTTATGCAAAGAATATTTGCATTATTATTTTTTTATAATTTATTCAAACAGAATATTTTATAACTTTTCGTATCTTATCTAAGTTGCAATTACCATTAAATTATAACTTATTTTTGTATTTGGAATTACAACATGGTTATAGCGAAATTAATTGAAATAAATTATAATTAATATATCACTTACATTATATAATTTGAGAGCATATTCAATTACAAATTATCCATTTATGAATAATTGCATAATAATTATCGAAGTTATATTTGATAACTTATCCCAAGTTATATTTATCAATAACTATATGATAATTATCTAAGCTATATTATATTTGATAGCTTATCTAAGTTTGTATTTCTTTTCTGAATAATTATAATAAATGAAAAATACTTCCTTATATCTTTAATTCTAATCTAGCATTCCTTACATCCTTTAATCCTAATCTACCATCCTATATATTATAAACTTCCGATAAAGATACTAAAAACTATTTATCACACTATCATTTATAACCAATTTACGCTTATCTGAACGATATCATTAGAAGCAATTCGTCCATTTCAACGCCAAGCACAAAACTCACAAAATAAATATTTTACTGCGAATCAAAAAAAACGAAAAATAAAAAAAAGTTAAAAAAAAAGTTTAACGAGCCAGCTGATGATAATAAATCAATTCAAATAAAAAGTAAACTCATTTTCCCCTTTAAATCTTTTCGCCTATTTTTTAAAGGATAAAAATTGTAATAATTTTACGATTGAAAAAAAAAAAACTGGCAATCTTTTCATTTTCTTTTTATCATTCTATCTATGCACTATTTTATTTTTACTTTTTTTTTATCTTTAAATGATTGTTAGGCAAATTATTGTAAGAATAAAATAAACGATTGATACTGAATGCATTACCAAATTAGCTTATCAATTGTTTATCAGTATGGTGTATAAATACCTTATCACTATGGTATATGGTATTAATTATCCTAAAAGTTTATTAATTAAAATTTTAATATGCAAAATTATATTAAGATAATGATAATATATGAATAATGATTTAAATTTTAATTTTTATCAATAGCTATTTATTATAGTAGTAGTAAAAATGGAAAAAGATGTTAAAATGATTAAAGATATAAACTAACCATTATTACCGGATATAAAACTATTCGAAACCGTATAAACTGGTGATGATATTGAATATCCTGTCGTATTATTACTACTACTACAACTACTATTACTACTATTATTACTATTACTATAATTGTATTGTGTAGTACGTTGCATTTGCATTTTAGTAAGATGTGATATTGGGACAGATGGTATGACAAAAGCAGACATTGATCGTTCTGTACCACTACCACGAATTCCTGAAAGTAAATTTATAATTTCATTATCACAATTAATGTTTTTTTCTCACTTAAAAATGAATAAATATAAGGTATGAATAGCAAAAAAAAAAAAGGGAAAAAAAGAATTTAATGATAAAATGATAAGTAGAAATAATTGTAGAAGAAGTGACAAATAAATAATTATGCAAAGTAATTAATTGTATTGATAAGAGAAGAATAATTATTAAATGAATGTAAAAAAAAAAGAAAAGAAAATTTACAAGCTACTATTTTGAATTAATTTACTAAGTAAATAAAATTCGATTAATAGGTATTTTGATTTATTTACCAAGTAAATAAAAACACATAAATGCTTGAAATTTATTTGCCAAGTGGATAGAAGTACATGAATACTTAAAATTTATTCAAGTAAATAAAAGTACATGAATACTTAAAATTTACTTACATAAAAGTACATAAATATCTAAAATTTATTTGCTAAGTAAATAAAAGCACATAAATACTTAAAATTTACTTACATAAAAGTACATAAATACCTAAAATTTATTTGCTAAGTAAATAAAAGTACATAAATACTTGATGCTAAGTAAATAAAAGTACATAAATACCTAAAATTTATTTGCTAAGTAAATGAAAGTACATAAATATTTAAAATTTATTTGCTAAGTAAATAAAAGTACATGAATACTTAAAATTTACTTACCTAACAGTACATAAATACCTAAAATTTATTTGCTAAGTAAATAAAAGTACATAAATACTTAAAATTTACTTACATAAAAGTACATGAATACTTAAAATTTACTTACATAAAAGTACATAAATATGTAAAATTTATTTGCTAAGTAAATAAAAGTACATAAATATTTAAAATTTATTTGCTAAGTAAAAGTACATAAATACTTAAAAGTGTATAATATCCTTGCAACTATATGAATGAAATTTTGATCATTCTTCGAACGTTCCCTCCCAAATCTATCGCATAAATCAAAACCTTAAATTGACATAACTAAAAATATTCTTCTTCCTCTCTTCCATTCCTCTTCATTCTTTTTTCTTTTCGTCTTACAATCTCCTATATTAATCTGCTTTTCTCTTTCTATCTTAATTTATCTTATCCTTTTTCTCTCACTCTATTTCCTTTTGAACATAAACAAGGCAATCAATAAGAATGCTCAATCAATAAGGCGCTCTTTTCAAATTATATTTACTTGGTAAATAAAAATTGTTTGTTTAATGTTTAATGAATTGATAAATTTAATATTTAATAGATTGATAAATCGATAAATTTAATATTTAATAAATATCATTAATTGATTGATTGATA